CCCAGCTAATTTTTTGTATTTTTAGTAGAGACGGGGTTTCACCGTGTTGACCAGGATGGTCTCGATCTCTTGACCTCGTGATCCACCCGCCTCGGCCTCCCAAAGTGCTGGGATTACAGGCTTGAGCCACCGCGCCCGGCCAGTTTGGTTAGTTTTTAAACCTGTCTTTGGCATCTGACCTAATCATATCCCATCTACCCTCTGGAGTTTATCTCTGAAAGATCATATTGAGGAAGGAAAAAAAAAACATGATTAAATAACCCATAGAAGGGAATACTTATTCTGTATTATAGGGTGAGGTGTTGCCTTATTCTAAAAACAAAATGAATAAATCAACTGTAAAAATGGGTTCTTTATTTTTGGACCCAAGTTATCAGGCATATATCCCTTTCTCACAAAAGAATTGCTCTATTCTTTTTCTTATGGTATGTTTCTTCTCTCAATGAAAGGCTCTATCCCTGAAGAGGATGCTGGGAAATTATATAACACCTGTACTGTGTTTGGGCCTGATGGAACTTTACTAGCAAAGTACAGAAAGGTAAGTAGGAAGTGTGGCAGAATTTATTATCTTCAAGCCAGCAATGATGTGTGGGGAAAAAAAAAAAGAATTTGCTATGAAGTCCCCTAGTCCATCTCATTGTATCGTACATGCATTAGGGTTTTGACTGATTGGCACAGGTGGTTATTCTTGGCCATTTGCATTGTTATGTAAATTTTAGACTTAACCTGTCAATTTCTGCAAAGGAACAACCTATAGGATTTTTTATTAGTATTTCATTGAATATATAGAGAACACTTTGGGAAGAGTTGCCATCTTTCTGGTGTTAAATGCATATACATGGCCAGGCATGGTGGCCCATGCCTGCAATCCCAGGCCAAGGCGGTTGGATCACCTGATGTCAGGGGTTCACGACCTCCCTGGCCAACATGGTGAAACCCTGCCTCTACTAAAATACAAAATTAGCTGGGTGTGGTGGCGCACACCTACAGTCCCAGCTACTTAGGAGTCCGAGACAGGAGAATCGCTTGGACCTGGGGGCTGAAGGCTGCAGTGAGCCGAGATCGCAACACTGCACTCCACCCTGGGCAAGACAGAGCGAGACTCTCTCTCAAAAAAAAAGAAAAATGCATATACAGCTAGTATCATTAAGTCTTCTTGATGAATTGACCCTTTTATCATTATGAAATATCTCTTTTTTTTCTTGTAATACCTTTTGTCTTGACATCTGCTTTGTCTCGGCTCACTATAGCCACTTCAGGCTTCTTTTGCCTACTGTTTGCTGATACATGGTTTTTCCACTTATTTGTTCTCAAGCTATGTGCGTTTTTATATTTTAAATGGATCTCTTATCAACAGCATATAATTGTATCTTAATTTTTTCTTTATTCTGACAATCTTTTAATTGAAGTGTTTAGTCCATTTATATTTAATGTATTTATTGATATGATTGAATTTAGGGATACAGACATTTTATTTTTTTCCCCTTTGTTCCTCTTTCCTGTATTATTTTGGATTAATTGAATATTTTTTAGAGTTCTGTTTGAATTTATCCATTGGCTTTTTAGTTATGCCTCTTTGCTTTTTTTTTCCTCCCAGTTGTTGCCCTGGGAATTATAATATGCATCCTTAACTTTTTACAGGCTACTTAAGAGTTAATATTATATCATTTCATGTGAAATTTAATAACTTTATAATGAGGCGGACTCGGTGGCTCACAGCTGTAATCCCAGCACTTTGGGAGGCCGTGGCGGGTAGATCATGAGATCAGGAGTTTGAGACCATCCTGGCTAACATGATGAAACCCTGTCTCTACTAAAAATACAAAAAATTAGCCAGGCATGCTGGCAAATGCCTGTAGTCCCAGCTACTCGGGAGGCCGAGGCAGGAGAATTGCTTGAACCTGGGAGTTAGAGGTTGCAGTGAGCTGAGATCACTTCACTCCGGATGACAGAGTGATACTCTGTCTCAAAAAAAAAAAAAAAAAAGAAACTTACAATGGTATAGGGCCATTTTTCTACCCCATCTCCCCCGCCCTCATTCTTTATGTTATAGTTGTTATTTGTATTCCATGTATATATATTATAAATTCCACAAAAGAATAATACTTGATTTAAGTAGTCATATGTATTCTAAAGAAATTAAGAAAAAAATCTTTATGCTTACCCAAATATTTATCATTTGTGGTGTTTTTCTTTCCTTCCCGAAGATCCTTCTTCTATCTGATATATCTTCCTTCAGACCAACGGCTCTCCTTTAGCATTTTTGTACTGAGGATCTGTTAGCTAGGAATTCTGTTAGTTTTTGTTTATGAATATCTTTACATTGCTTTCATTCTTGAAAGATATTTTTGCTGGAATAGAATTTTGGATTGACAGTTTTCTTTTTTTTCCCACTAGTAGCTATTATCTAGCCTTTTTTCTTCTTCCCTGATGAGAAGTGAGTAGTAATTTGTATTGTTCCATTGAATATAGTTTGTTGTTTTTCTCTTCCTCTTTCCAAGATGTTTTTAAAATCTTTAGTTTGTAGTATTTTGACTTTGATGTGCCTAGATGTGGTTTTGTCTTTGTCTTACTTGTTACTTCTCGGACCTGTAAATTTAAATCTTTCAACGTATTTGGGAAATTTCTTGACACTCTTTTGTTAAATATTTTACTATCCCTTTTTCTTTTTCTTTTTTTTTTTTTTTTTTTTTTTTTTTTTTTGAGACAGAGTTTCGCTCTTGTTAACCCAGGCTGGAGTGCAATGGCGCAATCTCGGCTCACTGCAACCTCCGCCTCCTGGGTTCAGGCAATTCTCCTGCCTCAGCCTCCTGAGTAGCTGGGATTACAGGCACACGCCACCATGCCCAGCTAATTTTTTGTATTTTTAGTAGAGACGGGGTTTCACCATGTTGACCAGGATGGTCTCGATCTCTTGACCTCGTGATCCACCCGCCTCGGCCTCCCACAGTGCTGGGATTACAGGCTTGAGCCACCGCGCCCGGCCTATCCCTTTTTCTTAATGGAACTCCATTATACGTATGTTATATTTTTAAATATTTTTCCAAGGTCACCAGGCTCTGTTTTTCTGCTTTTGTTCTTCCAATACTTTTTCTTTCTCTTCTACAGACTAGATAATTTCTGTTGATCTTTCAGACTTATTTACTGTTTCTTCTGTCTTCTTCAATTTCCTATAAGCTAACCCAGTGAATATTTTAAAATTCAGTTATTAAAATTTTCAGTTCTAAAATACCCTTTCCTTCTTTTTTATAGTTTTTATTACTCTATGATATTTTCTCTCTGTTCATTAAGAGAATATTTTTCTTGACACTCTTGAGCTTAGTTTCTATAGCTGCTTTAAAGTCTGATAATTATCACATCTCTGTGCCACAGAATGAGACTATAAGGCCTTTAAAAGGCCTTTAATGTCAATAAACTCATGTCCAAACCAAAAACAAAATGTAACATCTGGGTCAAGGCAGGATCTGTGTTCATTTGATTACCCTTTCTTTGGAGTTTGGGTCACATTTCTGTTTCTTTGAGTATCTACTAATTTAGGATTATATCTTGGATTATATGTTGTAGAGATTCAAGATTTTATTATAGTCTTCCAAAAAGTGTTGAATATTTTGTTTTAACTGGTGGTTAACTTGGCTGCACTCAAACACCAAACTCTTATTTTCTTTGTAATGTGGGCAGCAACTTGAGCTGCTCTGTTCTATCTGGTTGTTCTGCCCCACTTCTGTTTAACTCGGTGATCAGCCAGAGATTTAGAAAGATTTTAAATGTAGAATTTAGAATCTTGCTCTCTGCTTTCCCCATTTCAGGATTTCCCCCCATGGTTTCTAGCTCTGGTTCTTCAAGCCAGTGTGATGATTGGTAATTTTCACCACCACTTACCACAACTGGGACCTTGCTTCAGAGTAACAGCTGTTAAATAGCAGCTGTACCTGCTTCCACCTGTTTGTGTTCTTCTCTTCAGGCTCTGCCTGCCGGTTTTTTTTTGGTCATTCTTCAGTGCTTTAAGTAGTCATACCTTTTATTTTGTCCAGAGTTCATAGTTAAGCAGAAGAAAGCTGGTCTGATAGGAGCTACTGTGCACACGCAGGAAGAACAGCCAACATTGGGCTAAGAACCCAACTCTTTGAAGTGTATCTTTTTAGTGTTAAGTTTTCCAGTCCATGAATGTGAAATATATCCTGACATTTATTACGCTTTCTTTAATTTCTCTCAATTTCTTTTCATAGTTTTTCGGGTATAATTTTGTGTAACATTTGTGAGATTTATTCCTCATTGGTGATTTTAGATGCTCTTTCATTTTCTGTTTCTTTTTTTGTTTGTTTGTTTTGAGATGGAGTCTTGCTCTGTTGCTCAGGCTGGAGTGCAGTGGTTCGATCTTGGCTTACGGCGGCCTCCACCTCCCGGGTTCAAGCCATTCTCTTGTCTCAGCACCTCGAGTGGCTGGGATTACAGGCATGTGCCACCACGCCTGGCTACTTTTTGTATCTTTAGTAGAGACGGGGTTTACCATGTTGGCCAGGCTGGTCTTGAACTCCTGACCTTAGGTAATCTGCCTGCCTTGGCCTCCTTAAGTGCTGGGATTACAGGCGTGAGCCACTGTGCCTGGCCCATTTTCTGTTTCTTGCTGATATGTAGAAATACAGCAAGTTTTCAAAATATTGACTTTGTGGTGAGGCACAGTGGCTTATGCCTGTAATCCCAGAACTTTTCAAGGAAGAGGCAGGCAGATTGCTTGAGTTCAGGAGTTGGAGACCAGCGTAGGTAACATGGCAAAACTCCTCTACAAAAAATACAAAAGAAATTAGCTGGGCGTGGTGGTGTGTACCTGTAGTCCTAGCTGTTCAGGAGGCTGAGGTGGGAGGATTGCTCGAGCCTGGGAGGTCAAGGCTGCAGTGAGCCGATCCATCGCACCACTGCACTCTAGCCTGGGTGACAGAGCAAGACTTTGTCTCAAAAAAAAAAAGTTTTTTTAAACGAAAAAAAACCTGTAACAACCTTACCAAACTCACTCATTAATTCTAATAATTTATCTGTAGAATTTTTTTTATAGTTTCTAGGTCTATAATCATCTGAGAATAAGGACATTTCATTTTTTCTTTTCAGTTGTTATACTTTTTACTTCTTTTTTTTTTTTTTTTTTTTTTTGGAGACTGAGTTTCGCTCTTGTTACCCAGGCTGGAGTGCCATGGCGCGATCTCGGCTCACCGCAACCTCCACCTCCTGGGTTCAAGCAATTCTCCTGCCTCAGCTTCCTGAGTAACTGCGACTACAGGCACACGCCACCATGCCCAGCTAATTTTTTGTAGTTTTAGTAGAGACGGGGTTTCACCATGTTGACCAGGATGGTCTCGATCTCTTGACCTCGTGATCCACCCGCCTCGGCCTCCCAAAGTGCTGGGATTACAGGCTTGAGCCACCACGCCTGGCTACTTCTTTTCTTTCTTGCTGTGTTTAGGATCTCTGGTACCTATACCAAGCAGGTATCCTTGTCTTGTTCCCAATCTCAGAGGGACAGTTTTCAGTATTTCCTCATTAAGTATGAAGCGGGTTGTTTAGGTGTTTTGCAGATAATCTTTATCAGATTAATAAAGTTCCCTTCCTAGAAGTTTATCTTTTGTTTTTAAATCGGGAATGGCTGTAGAAGTTTACCTAATGCTCATACATCTTTTGAGATGATCATGTGATTTTTCTTCTTTATTTTGTTAATTTAGTAAATTACACTGATTGACTTTCTAATCTTAAACAATGTTTGGTTTCCTTGAATAAATCCAGTTTGGAAGTGATGCATTATTTTTTTTGCTGAATTTGGTTTGCAAAATTTTTACCTATTTTTAAATGCCCACCCACTTTCCACCTCTCCTGAGAAGTCTTTTTTTTTTTTTTGCGATGAAGTCTTTCTGTGTCACCCAGGCTTCAGTGCAGTGGCGTGATCTGAGCTCACTGTAACCTTTACCTCCTGGGTTCAAGCAACTCTCCTGCCTCAGCCTCCTGAGTAGCCGGGACTATAGGCTTGTACAACCACGCCTAGTTAATCTTTTTTTTGTATTTTTAGTAGAGGTGATGTTTTACCACTTTGGCAAGTCTGGTCTCGAACCCCTGACCTCCTTGGCATCCCAAAATGCTGGGATTACAGGTGTAAACCACCACATCCAGCCTGATTCTACGAAGTCTTTATTTAGTATTTGTATTTTTAAAAAGCAACACATTAGTTACCTCCCATGAGAAACCTGGACGTTGATTTGCATATCACATAGAAAGTAGGGGCTATAAAATGTACAGCATCATTTTTCCGGTTTCCTTTGGTAGAATTCATTTTGGTCAGGTGTCAGCCAGCTTGTGGGGTGGGTTATGGGCAGTTTAGGGCTGCTGTTTGTATAGCTGATCTTACAGCACTTTCCACATCCGCCCAGGGAAAGATAGTGTCATTACTGCCATGAACCCTGCTGGAAAAGAGGTAACCAGATCCATTATTTGTGATGCAGATCCATCTGTTTGACATTGATGTTCCTGGGAAAATTACATTTCAAGAATCTAAAACACTGAGTCCGGGTGATAGTTTCTCCACATTTGATACTCGTATGTACCAGATAAGTTTGCCTCCTTAGCAATCTCATTAGAAGACAATCAGGTATTTATTTCTTTTTTTGTCTCTCTCCAGTTTCTTCACATAACCTAACTGAAAGACCGTGAGAAAGGCAGAGAATCCTCAGAGATCTGGAAAGTTTGGGCTTAGTTGAGAACTAAGGATTTGACAGAAGTTTGCCCCTTTATTTGATTGTAGCTTCCTGTTATGGCTTCCAGTTTTTATTTATTAGGCCACGGTTGGGTACCTCCCACCTAGAAAATAAGCATTCAGTTAGAATGAATTTAATCTTTACACTGCTGATGCAAATGATGTCTTCATGAGACGAAATCTAGGAATGAACTTACAAATTGTCTCTTTCCTCAGGTCCCGTGTTAATTTATCCCTGTCAGTGTTTTGTGATCATTAAGTCATGGAGGATTTCCCCTGCCACACCATGCTGTAGGAAGTTAACTTTTCATTTGTGCATTTTCTGTTTGGAAACAGCGTACTGCAGAGTGGGTCTGGGCATCTGCTATGACATGCGGTTTGCAGAGCTTGCACAGATCTACACGCAGAGAGGTGAGGCAATGCAACAGTTGCGTTACATGGGTGCTTGGAGGCTTGGTTCTAGGCTGGTCTGTGTGGGATCCTTAGTCAAGAAAAGCTGGGAGAACGCTCTCAATCTCTCCATCTCCAGCCTTTTCACCCCCTTGAGGCTTCCTAGACTTTTGCTGCATATAGATGACAGGGTTTTTCAGAGGTTGTAACTGAACACATCATGTAGCTAAGGTAGGAGCTGTGCTCTTAAAGGTCTGCCCTTACCCTTGAGTCCTTCTTGTTACTGTGTTTGGAGAGTCACTTGAAGCCCAGCAGAAATGAGGTGGATTTTACCACTCCGTACTCCTAGACATTGGGTAGAGTAGAATTGTAGTCTGTGATATTTTGGTCCAGACGAGGAGAAATGTGCTAGTATCTGGGAAGAGCCAGTTCAAAAGATGTGGGTTCTAGTCCCAACTCTTCCCTTTAATTGGCACAGTACTTTGCTTAAGTGATTTAATCTCTAGAGCAGTATAGTTCTCAGTTTAGTCACAGGAGTAGTATGAGGATTAAGAAGAGAGAACCTGTAAAGCCCCTTGTATGGTACTCAGCACATACCAGCATCCTTACTAGACTGCTCGAAGATGCTTCCAAATAGACTGTCACTTAACAAAGTGAAGTTGGTAGAAATGGTTTGACTGCCCACCCAGAAGGTGGGGGTGCATGGGCTCTGGGGTCAAGATTTAGGGCAACTACCCTGCCCCTAATCTTTGTTGAAAAGAATTACAAAACATGGCCGTTGGCCATGTGGAGCCGACATATGGAGCTGAGAAAAACGTGTTTGTTTGTTTTGTTTTGTTTTGTTTTGTTGGAGACGGAGTTTAGCTCTTGTTGCCCAGGCTGGAGTGCAGTGGCTCAGTCTTGACTCACTGCGATCTCCACCTCCCAGGTTCAAGCAATTCTCCTGCCTCAGCCTCTGGAGTAGCTGGGATTACAGGTGCCCACCACCATGCCCACCTAAATTTTGTATTTTTAGTAGTTATGGGGTTTCACCGTGTTGGCCAGACTGGTCTCGAACTCCTGACCTCAGGTAATCTACCCGCCTCAGTCTCCCAAAGTGCTGGGATTACAGGCGTAAGCCACTGCACCCAGCCAGAGCTGAGAGAAATTTTAATAACAGTTCTCTATCTTATTTTTGTTTGTTTTGAGGCAGGGTCTCATTGCCACCCAGGCTAGAGTGCAGGTATGATCATGGCTCACTGAAGCCTTGATCTCCTGGGCTCAAGTGATCCTCCCACGTCAGCCTCCCAAGTAGCTGGGACTCCAGGCACGTGCCACCACACCTGGCTAGTTTTTAATGTTTTGTAGAGATGGGGTCTCTGTATGTTGCCCAGGCTTTCTGTACTTTTTTGAGTGAAGTTGATGCCAGTGGGGTAGGGAGGTCCCCAACAGGAGTGGGGCCCTGGCCCAGCACGTGTCCATGCCGTCAACACTATACCATTGCAAGGAGGAATTCAGGATAAGTCAGCAAATAGCGGAAGTATGGAGATTCATCACAAAGTGAAAAGTGCACAGTCCAGAAGGGGCAGTGTGTGTGTGCTTAAGGAGTCGTGCACAAGGAGGTTTGGGCCATCTACTTTTATGGGCTTTTTTTTTTTTTTTTGAGACAGAGTCTCCATCTGTCGCCTATGCTGGATGCAGTGGTGCGATCTTGGCTCACTGCAAACTCCCCTTCCTGGATTCAAGCAGTTCTGCCTCAGGATCCCTAGTAACTGGGATTATAGGCACCCACCGCCACGCCCAGCTATTTTTTGTATTTTTAGTAGAGACAGGGTTTCATCATATTGGCCAGGTTGGTCTCGAACTCCTAACCTCAGGTGATCTACCTGCCTCAGCCTCCCAAAGCGCTGGGATTACAGGCCACCATGCCCGGCCACCTTTATGGGTTTTTTTAAAGGGGTGAAATATTCATGACGCTTCCTAGAAAAAGGTGGAGATTTCTCGGAATTGTGGTGTCACTCATTTTTTCACCAAATATGGGTGTCCCAGAAATTATAATGGTGCTGGTGGGTGTGTGATTTAGTATGTTAATGAGCTTCTAATGAGGATAAGGAGGTCCTAGGTGAAACCTAGGTCAAATCCAGCACCGCAGTGGATCCAGCTGGAATTAGCCCTGGTTTCTCAGGGTCTTATGCCCTAGCTTATGCAGCTATTTCAACACTTTCCTTTTGCTAGTCCTAAGAAAACTGCTGTCTGGAATTTTCTGTCCTCTTGCGAACATCCGGTATTAGTTCTGTCTCAAAGTCACATGTCATTTTGGTCATCAATACTATTTTTCTTGCGTGTCCTTATATGTGTGACTTATATAAAGGAATTGAGAGCCGTATTTTAATTGCTGCTGGCACTGTCTGACTTGGCTGACGTCGTTTTATGTTTGGGAAAGTTTGAGTTCAGTCCCTGCTAGATAAGGAGCAGTGGGGAGGACCGGTGGTGGTGGGTGCTAGATGAGGAGCAGTGGGGAGGACCGGTGGTGGTGGGTGCTAGATAAGGAGCAGTAGGGAGGGCTGGTGGTAGTAGGTGCTCACTGCACCCACTGTTATGGCTTTTCTCTCCCCAAGGCTGCCAGCTGTTGGTATATCCAGGAGCTTTCAATCTGACCACTGGACCAGCCCATTGGGAGTTGCTTCAGCGATGCAGGTAAGAAAGAAACCATATATTCAAGCCTCTCAGTATGTCCTCTTCGTGGAATGATTTCTGGTTGGGTGGAGGTACCAGCCTTCCTGATGTGGATTCTGCCCTGACTCAGGATGCCCTGGTATCCAAATGCAGTTGGAAAGCAATGAGGCTATGAGGAGGACTTCTACCGCTGGGCACTTTCTCCTCAGGAGCCACAGCGCCAACCTCATTAGATTTTGGAAACTGTACTTTGTGTTTTTTTCTAAGAGACGGGGTCTTACTGTTGCCCAGGCTGGAGTGCAGTGGCATAATCATAACTCATTACAGCCTTGAAATCCTGGGCTCAAGTGATCCTCCTCCCTCAACCTCCTGAGTGGGTGGGACTGCAAGCATGTGGCACCATGCCTGGCTAATTTTTTGATTTTAGAAGAGATAGAGCCTCACTTTATTGACCAAGCTGGTCTCAATCTCCTGACCTCAAGTGATCTTCCCGCCTCAGCCTCTCAAAGTGCTGGGATTGCAGGCATGAGCCCTAAGCCCCGCTGAAACTGTGGTTTTTGCATTTTCAATATTCAGTGTGTCAGGGGTAGTGATTTCATTTTTCTGTGATTAGATGTGGATTGATCCCTCTTAAGTTAGTTCCAGCAACTTTGACAGAGAAACTGAGAACCACAGGCTTATGTCTTCAGAGCCCCAGAAGCCAATGAAAAGGCAGGGGTCATTTTAGCTTGACCTAGGAAGAGATTTGTGGTCTGTACCCAGCTGATTCTGTGCTTATTCACATTAGGATCCTTATCCAACCCCATCCTTCACACCGTCCTACTAGTCCTGGGGGTACTGCACCAAGAAACTCATGAACAGCTCTTGTTCTTCTAACCTGTAACTCCAGGGCTTTGCACAAGCATCTTTGGCAGGTCACAGGTGCCTTTCCTCAGTCTTCCAAGGCTGAGGGGTGGTGAAGGGCAAATAGCATAGGTGGACATAAGATGGAAGGGGAAATGAGTGTGACTGTGTGCATATGCATGTGACTGTGTGTGTGTGTGTCTGTCTGTCTATAAATTGCTCTACAGTCCATGAAATGCTGGTCTGAGACGATGGTTTTCTTTAGAATTTTTAAAAATTGAAGTAATACAAAAAAGTGTACTAATTTTAAGCATATAGGTCGGTGAATTTTTCACCTGCCACCAAGATGAACATACAGAACATTTCCAGCCCTTGAAGATGCTCCCTTTTTTGCCCCTTTCTAGTCAATCCTCCTCTCTCTGCCTAGAGGTGCCACTATTCTCACTTCTAGAGATGGTGGTAATTTTTTTTTTTTTTTTTTTTTTTGAGACGGAGTTTCGCTCTTGTTACCCAGGCTGGAGTGCAATGGCGCGATCTCGGCTCACCGCAACCTCCGCCTCCTGGGTTCAGGCAATTCTCCTGCCTCAGCCTCCTGAGTAGCTGGGATTACAGGCACACGCCACCATGCCCAGCTAATTTTTTGTATTTTTAGTAGAGACAGGGTTTCACCATGTTGACCAGGATGGTCTCGATCTCTTGACCTCGTGATCCACCCGCCTCTGCCTCCCAAAGTGCTGGGATTACAGGCTTGAGCCACCGCGCCCGGCCTATGGTGGTAATTTTTAATGGAAGGGAAAGTTTTGGCTGGTTGCATGGTGGAAGATGGGAGTCGGGGTGTAAGATGCCATGAGTATTAATGAATGTACAATTTTGTCAAAAGTAAGAAAAGTTTCTGGGATACTGAGATGACCCAGCATGGGTCTGTTAAATCCAGAGGGCTCCCAGGTGAGGTGGTTTGGTGTACCTGGACTGCGAGCTGCAGTTCTTGTCTTACTTGAGATGGTGGGACTGCCGCCGTGGGCATGGGAGCACCACAGGGCCCTGCAGGTGTATTGCTTTGCAAGGCCGCTCCAGTCTCTCCAGCCACCTTGACTTGCATTGACCAGAGACACTTTTGTCTTCTATTAGCTTAGGGCAGGGTTTCTCCACAGCTGCACTGTTGACATTTAAGTCTGTTATTTTATTTATTTATTTATTTATTTATTTATTTATTTGAGATGGAGTCTGTCACCCAGGCTGGAGTGCATTGGCACAACCTTGGATCGCTGCAGCCTCCACCTCTTGGGTTTAATTCTCTGGCCTTAGCCTCCCAAACAGCTGGGACTGCAGGCCTGTGCTACCATGCCTGGCTAATTTTTTTTTTTTTTTTTTTTTGAGACAAAGTCTTGCTCTGTACCCCAGCGCCAGGCTGGAGTGCAGTGATGAGATCTTGGCTCACTGCAACCTCTGCCTCTTGGGTTCAAGCAATTCTCCTGCCTCAGCCTCCCGAGTAGCTGGGACTACAGACACGTGCCACCAAGCCCAGCTAATTTTTGTATTTTAGTAGAGACGGGGTTTCACCATGTTGGCCAGGCTGGTCTCGATCTCTTGACCTCATGATTCACCCACCTCAGCCTCACAAAGTGCTGGGATTAGAGGCATGAGCCACTGGGCCCGGCCTTTTTTTATGTGATGAGTCTAGCTTCGTCACCCAGGCTGGAGTGCAGTGGCACAGTCTCAGCTCACTGCAACCTCCACCTCCCGGGTTCAAGCGTTTCTCCTGCCTCAGCCTCCTGAGTAGCTGGGATTACAAGTGCACTACCATGGCCAGCTAATTTTTGTATTTTTAGTAGAGACGGGGTTTCACCTTGTTGGTTAGGCTGGTCTCGAACTCCTGACCTTGTGATCTGCCCACCTTGGCCTACCAAAGTGCTGGGATTGCAGGCGTGAGCCACCGCGCCCAGCCCTAGGTCTGTAATTCTTTGTGTGGGGCTGTCCCGTGCATGGTAGGATGTTTCGCAGCATCCCTGGCCTCCACCTACTTGATATCAGTAGCATCTCCTTAGTGGCGATAGGAAAATCTCCAGACATTGTCAGATTTGGTGGGCAACACTGCTCATTGTTGAGAACCCCTGGCTTATGCAGTAAGGTAATTTTTTAAAGAAAAGGTTCCGTGGCTCTGGCTTTCTTCTACATCTGAGTTGGCCTGAACTGTCCTATTTTTTAAAAGAAGGATCTATCTACTAGGGTTAGAAAAATGTCAGATTTATAATGTAGGATTTACCTCTTTCCTGTCTGTTGACTACAGAGCTGTTGATAATCAGGTGTATGTGGCCACAGCCTCACCTGCCCGGGATGACGAAGCCTCCTATGTTGCCTGGGGACACAGCACCGTGGTGAACCCTTGGTGAGTGAGGCCCAGTCGGAGCTTGAGAGGTGGCTCGTCGGCAGATGAGTTTTCTGGTTCCTGAGCAGCCGGGGCCCACCGCTCACTCCCATTTCCCCACATATCCTGCTAGCCTTCTGCCTCTCTGTGAGAGAAGCTTCCACTGAAAACCATGTGGGAAAGGAATCACCCTGTGCTCCTGATCAAGGGCTTGGCCTTAGCCCTCTTCTGAGTTTCTTGTGACCTTCATTGTCAGTCAGATGGGATCACATGGGTCAACAAGGCAGCAGTCATGGGCAGCCAGTAGCAAGAGACACCAAATTACTTACCTTTTGGCTAAAATTTAAGCTGGCTGACTAGTCCTTGGATAGGAATGATTTACAGGGCGAGAACTTTGCTCCCAGCATAATGATCAGAGGAGCAGTCAGGATGGGTTCAATAAGTAAAACTGTGACCCTCTCCCCTACAAAAGGGCAAAGCATTTTATTACTCAGTGGGCCAGAACATAAGCCTGCCCAGACGCAAGTATAGTCACACGCTCACATACATTCCTTACCGTCTGCATTTGTATAGTTTACATTGTGCTTTCACACACGTGGTCTCAGCTTGAACTCTCAGGAACTTGCTCTTATTAAGCACAGTTTATAGATGATAGAATTACAGACACAGAGCGGCTAGCACTGGTGTTTAAATCCAGGATGTTTGCCTTCAGAACCTGGATGTGTTCCACACTAGTTCTCTGTATGAAAGCACACACACACTGGTGTGTGTGTCTACGTTTTAGGATAAATATACCAGTAACAAGACTGAGAAGAGTTAAATATTACTGTGGGGTTCCTGAGGGCTCAGAGCTCGATGTGTGTGGTGGGGAGGACCTGGAAGATATGACTAGTGTGAGACTCCAGTTGGCCTCCTGCACATGAGGCTTGGGGGCATTGAAGGACTTAAGTTGACTTGAAAATTTTCTTGAACGTGCATCAAGTTCCACTGTCCAGAGATCTTTAAATGCCAGGGCAAATTGGGAAGAATCAGAAAAGAATTCAGTTACTTGTTATAAATGGTGGTGCTTGTAGCTCATTTGTGCCAAAAGTCTGTGGCTATCTGGTAAATAGAATCAGTTGTTACGTTAGATTATTTTGGAGAAGCTTCTAGATAAGGGTTTGAACCCTTGCTCTGGGCCAAGAGACTAAGCACTGGAGATAGTTTCTTTTTTTTTTCTTTTTTTTTTTTTTTTTTGAGTTGGAATTTCACTCTGTCGCCCAGGCTGGAATGCAGTGGTGTGATCTTGGCTCACTGCAACCTCTGCCTCCCGGGCTTGAACCATTCTTCTCCCTCAACCTCTTAGTAGCTGGGATTACAGGTGGGCAGCACCACACCCAGCTAATTGTATTTTTAGTACTGATGGGGTTTCGCTTTGTTGGCCAGGCTAGTCTCAAACTCCTGACCTCCAGTGATCCACTCACCTTGGCCTCCCAAAGTGCTGGGATTACAGGCGTGAGCCAGTGCACCCTGCCTGGAGATAGTTTTACAGGTCAGCCTTGTCCTGGACTTATAATGGAATGTGGCTGTTCCCTGGTGCAGGGCTCTTGCCACTGTGAGTTACCCTCCATCCCCCTGCACCACACACATCGAGTTCAACCTCCAGCCCCCAGAGGTTGAACTCTTTCCTTCAAATATGAAACTGAAGCCCATTAACATAGGGTTCCAGGCATCACAGCCACCAGAGCGGAGACCCTAGCAGATCAGGGGCCCTGCCTGGGCCCAGCTTCATCAGCCTCGGGTAGGGTAGCAGCTCAGGCAGGTATGAATTTCAGAGCAGGTCCAGACTACCCTTGTTAAGGGATCCCACTGAAATGCACTCATGAGGGCATGAGATGGAGCTTCCTGTTGGTCGTAGATAGCTCTGTTCCCAGATCTTTATAATCATCAGATAACCACCATTTCCTAGTGGTTTGCAGTTTATGAACATGATCCACATGTTTAGCACTAAGCCCTCACAGAGCTGTTATTTCCACTTTATAGATTAGGAAATGGAGATTTGAAATAACTTTCCACAAGGTCACAGAGCTGTTTAAATGCTAGAACAGAAATCTGTACCACTACCTTCTTGTTTTAAATCTCAGACTTGTCCCTTTGGCCTGTGAGGTGGGGAGGAAGAAACAGAGATCTTGAATATCCCCAGACACCAGTGAGTCCACTCATTCTCTCCTGCTTCTTTTTCAGGGGGGAGGTCCTAGCCAAAGCGGGCACAGAAGAAACAATTGTGTATTCAGACATAGGTAAGATGTTCCCAAGCAGGGTTAGGACTCTGATGTCCCCATTGTTCTGTGGCCAGACTCCATAGCTGGGAAGTCCCTGTCATTCAGAGGGGTTCCTTTATGTCCCTCCTCATTTATCTCTGAGGATATTCTCAGGTCTGGTTCTCTGGTCAGGCTCTGGGGAGTATATCAGCTTGAGTTTTCTTGGTTTGGTTTGAAATGATGCCAGGCTATCTGTCCATCTAGGCAAGACCTGTGTTACTAAGTTACTTACTAAGACTCTAGTGGTTTATACAGTCTGGGGATGAAATCCCCTTTGTTAGTGAGGAGTTGCAAATTATTAATAGTGCCCTTTCCTGTTTTTTGCAGACCTGAAGAAGCTGGGTGAAATACGCCAGCAAATCCCCATTTTTAGACAGAAGCGATCAGACCTGTATGCAGTGGAGATGAAAAAGCCCTAAAGTTTCTGTTTGTAATGTGTCACAGAACAGGAAGATATGATTCTGCAACATAATCAACTCCCTATTAAATTCTTTAATGAATATTTTTTTTTTTAATTCAGCCTTGTCCTTTCCAGGTTCTCTATTGAGATGAGAAAGCCTCATCACGCTGACGTTTTCCACATCACATTCAATAGTTAAAAAGGGGCCGGGCGCGGTGGCTCACGCCTGTAATCCCAGCACTTTGGGAGGCCGAGGCGGGTGGATCACGAGGTCAAGAGATCGAGACCATCCTGGTCAACATGGTGAAACCCCGTCTCTACTAAAACTACAAAAAGTCAGCTGGGCATGGTGGCGCGTGCCTGTAATCCCAGCTACTCAGGAGGCTGAGGCAGGAGAATTGCCTGAACCCAGGAGGCAGAGGTTGCGGTGAGCCGAGATCACGCTATTGCACTCCAGCCTGGGTAACAAGAGCGAAACTCCGTCTCAAAAAAAAAAAAAAGGATGCAGCCTGGAGCTGGAGAGCAGAAAGCTGGGCTGGTTCTGAAGCTTCTTCTGTACTTAAGTTGCCTCCAAGCAGTTTGTGAAAGTATCAGATCTTGGTATCCTGGTGATTGATTCACCTAATATTTGTGTCATGAACCTCTTATCCCATTGCTGGAGTTGGAATCTCCATCACCTAGAAAACATGGTCTGGTGCTATGCTTTTCTAAGCAGTACCTTGAAGTTCCATTTTGGGTTCCTGAGTAGCTATAGGACGCAAGGTAACAGTTCTTGGTGTTTGCCAGAGAAGGCAGCAACCCCACCCCTCCTACCAGCCTTCGGGCTCTTCAAATTTAAGAAGGAGCTACTCATTCAACCCCAGGCCCTCCTGGTCTTGGAGGAAGGATTGGGTCAACAAAGAGCCTCATGGGAGAATGGCAGTCAGTGGTGGCGTTTGGTGAAGGCAATTTAGTATGAATCTCTGCAAAAGATTTTTTTGTTTGTTTGTTTTGTTTTTTGAGACAGAGCCTCACCTGTTGTCAGGCTGGAGTGCAATGGCATGATCTCAGCTCACTGCAACCTCTGCCTCCCAAGTTCAAGCGATTCTCCTGCCTCAGCCTCCCGAGTAGCTGGGACTACAGGCATCTGCCACCACACCCTGCTAATGTTTTGTATCTTTAGTGGAGATGGGGTTTCACCATGTTGGCCAGGCTGGTCTCGAACTCCTGACCTCGTGATCTGCCCACCTCTTCCTCCTTTAAAGTACTGGGATTTAAAGGCTCTGAGCCACCGCACTCAGCCAAAGGTTTTTTTTTGATAGCATTGAGTGTCTGAAACTCCCATTATTTTTGTTTTTTCTTTTTCCCCAGTAACACTTTCTAGCTCCACAGATAAAGAATCACTGAACCTAGTGTTTCTTAGACAGTTTGGCTTGAGAATCCTTTTGCAGTTAAAAATTAGGGACTGAGCCATGCATACTAGCATATGCCTGTAGTCCTAGCTATTTTGGAGGCTGAGGCAGGAGGATCCCTTGAATCCACCAATTTGAGTTCAGCCAGAGACCCTATCTCTCTCTCTCTCTCTCTCACACACACACACACACACACACACACTATATATATATATATATATATATATACACACACACGTGCACATATACTTAAATATATACATATATATTTACTTATTTACATATATATATACACACACGCACACAAATAGCTGGTTGTTAATTACTGGCTCGTGTGTGTGTGTATGTGTGTGTGTGTGTGTGTATATATATATATATATATAAAAGACTTCAATCAGTTTTTGCTTACGTGGGCAGGTAATTGTTTAACAACCAGCTATTTGAGAAAAAGCCCCGATTTTGCCAATTTTCAAGGTATAAACCCTTAACCATGGCTGAGTTCGAGCTGTCTGCATAACACTGCTAAACAGAGTTGGGAATAGATGTGCACAATCAGCTTTTGGGAGCTGGTGCAGTCGTGCTGTAGCACACCACTGCTTTAAGATGGATATGTAGATATTTACCATATTGGAAAATAAAATGGAGAAAAATGTAAAACAAGATACATGAGCACATATTCCATTAGCTATAAAGGTGAAGACATGGTGTCACTTAACCTCTGGAAAACAGCACTGTGTGCTGAGAACAAGAGAAAGACAAAGGCCTTTTAAAATTAATTTTTAAATTTACAATTGATGCATAATTGTACTTCAAAAAAAATAAGTGTACAATTTGGTAAAATTGGACATATCCAGCTAGAAACCACTCCAATCAAGATGACATTTACTGTCCCCAAAAGTTTCCATGTGCTCTATTATAATCCCTCTGGCTAGTCCTGCCAATCACTGATAAATTTTGTTACTATAGATTAGCTTACGTTTTCTAAAATATATAAAATAATGCCATTTGTACTTTTTCTGTATGTCTTTCACTCAAAATTACTTGGAGATTCATCTGGTATGTGCATTAGTAATTCATTCCTTTTTTATTGCTGAGTAGTATACAATTTGTTTATCCACTAACCTGCTGTTGGAGATTTGGGCTATTTCCAGTTTTTGGCTGTTGCAAAAAAAGCAACCTCACAGATCCTTTTGAAGGATGTCAGGTACTTTCAGGTAACCCTAGACTGCACTTTGAGTACCACTGCTCTCTATCCTAGCAGGCACACTGACAAACAGTTAAACCTTTTAATAGTGTGAAACAATTTTCTTTTAAAAAAATATTATCTTATTTTTACATATTTTATTCTAGTTGTATGACAGATTACATTTTTTTTTTTTAAATAGAAAGTCTTACTGTAAAGCCCACATCTGTATGAAAAATGAAAGAATGGTCTGGTTGATGTGGATGTGTAGAACCCAAGAACGCTCTCTTGGATTTTCTCTAATTCCCCAAAAAACTCAAGAATTTCCTCCAAAGAGTTGCTCAGAATAGTTTGAAAAGCAGTGGACAAGCCATCCTAGCTGTCTTGACGCTATGGAAACAAAGATGCTTTACAGTGATATTGCATTCCTGTAACAGGTAAGGCAGATGGATGTTAAAACTTTTTACATTTCATTAATTTTTTTTTTTTTTTTTTTTTTTTTTTTTTACAGAGTCACACTCTTGCCCAGGCTGGAGTGCAGTGGTGTGATCTCAGTTCACTGCATCCTCCGCTTCCGCCTCCGCCTCCTGGGCTCAAGCAATTCTCATGCATCTTTCTTCCTCAGTAGCTGGGACTACAGGCACGTACCACCACACCAGGCTAATTTTTGTATTTTTAGTAGAAATGGGATTTTGCCATGTTGGCCAGTCTGGTCTCCAACTCCTGGCCTCAAGCGATCCACCAGCCTCAGCCTCCCAAAGTGCTGGGATTACAGGCATGAGCCACTGCACTCAGCCTTTTGATGGTTTTGTTTTTTGGTATTTCATTAAATGAATTGTCCTTTTAGTGGTTTATCAGGTGATCTTGCCTTCTAGTGCTCTTGAAAAATATGAAAAGAAACAAACGAAGGGGGCATCTCCTATAATTAGTATGTAACATTTTATTCATAGAAAATGTGTAGGAATCTGGCCCGGGATTTTACCTTTTTACAAAGTGATATCTGAATAAAATGAACACAAGATTCCCACTTAGAGAGGAAGAACATTGCAGTTGAGGCCATGGAAAAGTTTTAACTGCCATACCTCGGTACTCCCTTTCTCATGAATTAGAAATGTTTTCATTTTGTTGCTTTTTTGTAATAATTTGAAGTCTGCTATCACATGTTGTGAGCCTCCATCTCTTGCAGTTTAGGTAAGGCAGCACATTTAATGAATTCACATTTAAGTGAATTCCTTGCAGGGATGATGACCTCTGTTGAAATAGGTCAGGATGTGCAGGTCATGGTGAAAGTACTACTTGACTTTGACCTAGCTCTTTGAAGGTGACCGTTAACAGATAATGAGAATTGCACTGGTTGCAAATGAGTAAATCAATAACACTATGGGGTTTTTAAATGACCAAGGACTAGACAGATTGTGACATTGACTGGATATTTAGGGAAGGACTCCTTCATGATACCAAAACTTAGGTCTGGGCAAAGTATATCAAGTGAAAAAAAGTTTAGACAAGAGTTTAAGTTTCAAGATAAATGTTCAGCTTTATTGGCACTGGTCTTAAGCCTTTCGTGGTACTTTTTAGGCATTGCTGTGGAAGTTTCGATGGTGCATGGGTCTGATGAAGCCAGGAGGGATAGAAAGGGAAATGGTATGTGTGCTGCAGGCTAAACAGGGGCTCTTCCTTATGCCTCACAACCACCTGTGTATGGCAGTTTCACATTTCCTATCACATTATTATCTTCATTCATTTCTACTTGTGAATGAAGGTTGGAGAATAAGAAAAAGCCAGTTGTTGGAAGAGAAACCACTTTAGGATGAAATGGTCTTGTTAAAATCACCAATTAAAAAGTTAAGCCTCTCATCTACAAATAACTAAAACATACATACAAGGATAGTGCTTCTTCAATTATTTACATCATAGCTGATTCATAATCAAATGAACAAGAATCTGCAAGAACCAAATATGGTGGGCAGGGTGCAGTAATTCCAAAGGTGGTCATCCTAGCTCTTCATGAAGTATTTTGAATCCTCCAAGTATATCCCATTGTGCTAACTAGGCTTTAAGTCTTTCACCTGTAGGTTCAGTCTCAAAGTTTCTCCCTCAGAACAAAGAGCATGCCATCCTATAAATTTCTCTCTGAATTTATTTTCACTCAATTTCTTTCAGTTGCTTTTCAGACCCCAGCAGCCAGATTCTGCCCTCATCTTTCCAATGACACTCTTCCGGCAGATGACTAAAGATCGATTTGTAGACCTGTCCATTTGGCCTCTCAAACTCAACACCATTGATGTGAAGTTGTTCTTAGTGCCTCTCTGGCCACTTAACATTGTACCTTAGATGTTAAAGGTCCTTACCGTAATAGTTTTATTTTTAGCCCCCTTACATTTTACATTTTGTCCTGAGCAATCTCAGCTATATGCATGGTCTGAAATATATGCTGATAATTTTCATTCTCAGAGCTCTTCTCTTGGCTTTTTCCCATTCATTTAAAAACAGCCACTTCACTTTGCTGGACTCTTTAACTTGAATGTCTCATTTTCAGCTCATGCTCATGCTTTGCCTTTAGTTGGATTTGTTGTGGTTGTTCTTCCCCACATTGTGGAAAGCTGCTTACCTAAATCCTATTTATTCCTAATGCTTAGCATAACTTATTACTCGTTTCCATGGCACATTGTACTTCCATTCTAGAGATTCCCTTCCTCTGAAGCACAGGACAGGTTTGTTTGCTACCCAGACCACCAACACTCAGTTTTTGAGCTCCTCAGTGTTCATCTTTTTATGGCTAACCCTCACCATCATAAGTGCTTAGTAAATGTTGATTGGAATGAATGTATTCCTACAGGTTGCACTTGTTCTCTCGCCAAGTTTTCTGGCTAAATTCTGGAATGATTTCCTTACCTGGGAGTCTGATCTGGGAAGAGCCTGGGACATGATGTAACTTCGTATGCTATATAGCTGAATATTCATTTACTTAAGATCTTAGCTTTGTTAGAAAGCAGTGTTGATTTAGAGGCCAGGCGCGGTGGCTCATGACTGTAATCCCAGCACTTTGAGAGATCTAGATGGGCAGATCACTTAAGGTCAGGAGTTCAAGACCTTTGGCCAATATGGCAAAACCCCATCTCTACTAAAAATAGAAAAATTGGGCATGGTGGTGTGTGTCTGTAATCTGAGCTACTTGGGAGGCTGAGGCAGAATTGCTTGAACCTGGGAGGCAGAGGTTACAGTGAGCCCAGATCACGCCACTACACTCCAGCCTGGACGACTGTGTCTCAGAAAAAATAAAAGCAGTTTTGATTTAGAGCTAAGGTCACCTGATGTTCATGCCAGTAATAATTTTCCCTCCCTCATGCTATTGTCCAAGACAGAGATTGTAATGCTCTATTCTGGTGAAAAACTAAGCTGAAGATGCATAAAAGGTAAGAACAGATAGAGACGGGGTCAGTTCTCCATACATTTTGTGAGTAGAGGTATTGGTGTTTTGTTCCAAACTATCCAATCAAGAATGTCTATAATGACAGCTTTGGAAGATACTGTCTTCCTCTGGAGCACAGGACAGGTTTGTTTACTCTCTGAAATAATAAAAATAGTGTTTCCCTCTGAGGCAAAAGGTCAGGCCAGTTTGCTTGTGACCTCATTAAAGATTTGGGCACCCACTGCATGCGTAGTATCCACCTAGATCGCTCTGTGTCACTCCCATGGGATCTGGGGCTCAAGCTCATGTTGCTTGCCATGTTCTAAATAATTAAATGTATGGTCTGACCCAGGAGTCTCATGCCTTCTGCCAGCATTCAGGAAACTAGTTTTCAAAAAGGGTAAAATCTTAAGACCTTTTACAGCTCCTGACACAGAGCAATATTGAGAAATAAAATCAGGTAAAAGTTACTTAATACAGCAGTTCATAATTTAGGCCATGGGTCATCGCTGCAGAGAATCTCACCATTGCTGCATTCTTGCTTTAAACTTTTCACCCTCTAAAACAATACCCAAGAGCCAATCTTAGTCATGGTCTTCCTCCATGTATTTGCTCTAGGTAAACTGTTTCATAGCCTTCCAAGACAACACTGGTACAGTCATGTGATCTTTAAGCAGCAACAAAAGAACTGGAGAAATTTGAGCCGTGTCTCCTGAGCTCTGAAAGGCAGCTGTCATCTTGGCCCCTAGCATATGCCACATTTGGCTTGCTCCCCTTGGCCAGGTACCACAGCTATTGTCCCTGTGATCAGCAGTCCCTCCAGCATGAAGACCTTTAAGAAGGATCTGAGAGTACTGTAACTGTTAACTCCTAACATGATTTGTGTACTATCACCTTGAAGTAAATCAGACTAGTTATTTTCATGCTAATTCTAAGAGTTTGAAAATAGTGACTTCTTTTTGATGCCTCTTCTAGGGTATTAGCAGAGAAATCTCAACTTTTACCTTATACCTGAAGGGCAGCTTTTTGGCCTGGTAATTATTATACTGTGATCATACATGTTTTAAATCACAAATACTCCACCTCTTGATGAAAACTCCCGTCTGTGGCGTGGGTGTACATTCATTGCCCAAACCACCTTTGGCCAAAATGTATGTGTACATGAAGTCGCTCTACTTTAGCATACTCAAGAGAATTCCTTTAAACCATTTATCTGCTTATACACAAAGGAATATTCGTTTCTATGGCTGATGTAATAAATTATCACAACTTGTGTGGCTGAAAAAACCAGCAAGTTATTCTCTTACATTTTTTGAGTCCAAATTCATGGGCCAAAATGAAGGTGTTGGTGGAGCTGTGCTCTGCTCTAGGGCAGGGCCCATTTCTTGCCTTTTCCAGTTTCTGTAGCTGCCACTGTCCTTCGGCTTGTGGCCACATCACTCCAGTCTCTACCTCTGTGGCAACATCGCCACCTCCTCTTCTGTCTGAAACCTTCCTCGTAGACACCTGACACTGCATTTTAAGGTCACCAGATAATCTAGGATAATCTTCCCTTCTCAAGATCCTTAATCGCATCTGCAAAGCCCATTTTTTGCCAACTAATGTTCACAGGTTGCAGGGATGAGGATGTGGCTATCTTTTGGGGAATCATTACTCATCCTATCAGTGTGGTAAAGCTTGCAGGTAAATTAAAATTTTGTCACTTTGTTCACAAATCAATTTAGCAGAAGATGAGAATAGGACTAATTATCACCTGTATCCTCACAACCACTCCTAAGTTATTTCCTTATAAATACAAATCCCACACAGGACAGTTCTGGGTAATTATTATTCTATACTCCTAAGTTTCCTGGTTTGGTTAGATGATATTGTCCTCCTGTTTAGAAATAGTCTTACGGTAACAGTTGACTTCTACAGGAACCAAGTACCATTTAAACTACAATTTGAATTCCCAGAGGGCAGAAAGTTCTGTTTGAACTGTTTTATAGCCAAAGTTGCTTTTTACTGTTTTGGGATGCCTTCTCTACTTACTTATACCACAGTTTTCAAGGATAATTATTTCAGGTATGAGAGAACTATGAGAACTATGATCAATCTCACTGGTGACACCAGATTGAATATAAACTTATCTACAGAATCCACATCTGACTGGCAACCTTCCAGGCTGCTGTGCATATATGGATAAAGTAGAGGCAAAGAATGATGTAGGTTGGCTGTACTGGCGCTCCATGGAGCCTTGTTTCACAGTAGGAGGAGGGGTGGATGCTCTTGAGAAACCCCACCATTCATACCAACAAACTTATTTTGCTTCATATTCTAACATTTCCAGTATGTTCCTATTTCCAAAGTTATTTTGAGCTCACAAGAGATTCCCTGTCAATTTACCCAAAAGCGTAATAAATGAGTAAACTACCTATCTTTCTATTTAAAGAATAGATAGAAGAGCTTGAATGTAATATTTATTTGGTGAATTTACATGTGAGGTCATTTACAAAAGAAAGATACAGACAGATGCAGCTTTCAGTGCAGTTTGAAATATTTTCACAACAGGCAATAGTCCATGAGAATTTGGAATGACAGCATAGAATGGCACATGCTTCAGTTTCCTTTGTGTTTCTCTACCCAACCCCAAGGTGAAAGAAGGGAGAAGAGTAGAAAAAAATGTCAGTGTTCATGTAAATACAGCCATGCAAATAAAAACTTTTGTAAAGCCAGAGCTCATTCAGAGATGTAGGACATTTCTGTATTTGGGGGTTATCAGAAGGTGCATAATTTAAAAACAAAATGCAGAGGTCTCAAACTTTCCATCATCCAAATCATCTTGAATTATGTTAACGGCACCAACTAATTAGTGGCCTCCTCAGTATTTTCCAAAGATGGACTTTGAAAGGGACTCATTTCTAAGTTTCTAAAAAAGATAGCATTTGTAGACAAATCGTTTTTGGTTTCAACAGAATTAAGCACCCTTAAGAGGTGTAAAAATGCTCCTTTTCTCCCAACAATGTAAACCATAATAATATTTTTTTAAATAAACCTCTCCCCATCCTGAGTATTTCAAAACAAAAGACCCATGAAGAACACAACCCTTGTCTCACCAGAAAAATCTAGCATATAAGCAAAAGGATGGTCTATAAAAGTGGAAATTGGAAATCTTAAAGCGACTTCTAAGGAAGGAGGTGGAGTAAAGATAAAATACTGCTGTCAGCATCCCTAGTGAAGACCTGGACCTGGGTAGTTAGTCCTTAGAGATCAAGGTTAGCGCATTACAAAAAAAGCACTCTACATGTCCTCAGCATCCTCAAAAATAAGTGGCTCAAAATTCCTTAAGCACATGTAGCCATAGCTAAAGCACTAAACTTATTTCAGGAAATATTATGTTCTGGCTCCAAGTCTTACATCTTTTTTGAACCTTTAGCCACGTTTTCTTCACTAGAAATTTTAAGCTATTTAAATACTCCCATATATCACACTTACTCTACCTTTACATAGGTTATACATACAAGCAACCTGCACTTTGATTTAAAAAACGTTCTAAAACTTTTTAGAGATGGGGTCTTGCTATATTGCCCAGGCTGGAGTGCAGGGGCTACTCGCATGTGCAAACATCATGGCACACTATAGCCTTGAGCTCCTGGTATCAAGCCTCTTGCCTCAGCCTCCCAAGTAGCTGAGACTATAAAAAGGTACATGCCGTTGCACCCACTATCCTGTACTTTTAAAAGCACAGCATTAAATAGCAGTAATTATTATAGAAAATGGTCACAAACAATTATAAACACACTTCTGTTTCATCTTACCTCTTTGTCTGGTCCACTCCCCCATCAATACTCAGTCTTCCAGCACATATATCAATTAGAATATTTTGCATCTGCATAATTTACTGTAAGAAAATCTGCCGTTGTGGACTTTAAGAAGAATGTACATTATCCATTAGACTGGAAAGGGGTCAAGAGGATTAATAGGTGCCACTAACTTTCTAAAACTCTGCAAAATCAGAGGTATTGTGCATGCTAATAATGGTTTAAAGGGTCTCTCAATTTTACTTTAATCCCCCATTTAACCTTTGTTTCTTTCCAAAAATTCAACTGAAAGCACTTAATTGAATATAGATCTATTTTACAGCATTTACTACGTTAATTTAAAAACCAGCATGCTGTAAAATACTTACATTATTCACACCTATATATAAAGACAAAATCATCCAGAACATAATCAACCCCCAACCCCCATTAAAAAAAAAAAAAAAAAAAAAAAAAAAAACAGAGTTTTTATTTGCATGGCCAATTATCATTTGTACTCTTTGCAACTTTATTTTAATATCCCTTTAACAGGTTCTAATCTTTTGTTGCACAGGCAATAAAAGCTGCAAGACTGCAAACTTCCTTCAACAGCCACACCCACAACACCTAGACATGAAACAGATGTAACAAATAACAATACCACAAACAAATACTAATTTCCACCATTCAACACAGTTCATGACAGTGTCTTTAGGGTTCGGTTGAAGAGGGGGTAAACTTTTAAAAAGAGGGTCAGTCTGCTTTCCCCCGTTTTATAATGTTGGTGGCTTTAATCCGTATTTCTTTGCAACTTCTATCTGGGCATGAGCGGCATCGCAAAGTGAATACAGATGGGCCATCTCCATTTCCGATTTGGCCAGGTTAATAGCTTTGTTGAACATGTCAATGGCTTTCTCCATGTTTCCTCTGAAAGAAGAAAATTTTTAAGTCTCAGATTCAACAAGCACTTCGCAATATTCAATGACATTTGTAAGTGATGCTACATGAAGTCTGACCACTTTCTACTATGATTCTAGTAAAATGCTGCTTTTATAATAAATAAGAGTATCTACCATATCAAAGGCACTCAATGAATGGTAACTATTACTATAAATACTATGTGTTTACATTATATCCCATGCATTATGTGTTTACCGGTAAGAACAGTGAGACTAAGGAAATTAATTGGCTTATTTAAAATCATAATTCTGCCTGGTTCCTAAGTTCTGCACGTTTCTACTGTTAACATGAGGCTCCCCTGGAAAGTAGTGACATAATCTCGGGACTCTAATGACATGCAAGGGCCTCACATTCACAGACTGATGTGGGCCCACTTCTTTCCACTTCAGTCTCTTAGCCCGTCCCCAACCCCATGCACCGCCACTCATCACGCAGTCTATGTGAGTTCCTTGATTGTGCTACACACTCATACCTACATATAACACTCAGATTTACTGCCTCTGCCTGATTCCGGTCAAATCCACAGCTATCTAAGGCCTAGTTCAAATACAGTATCCTCATGAAAAATATTTCCCCCTCCCCCCCTCCAGGGGAACTAGCTGTTCTATCCCCAACATTCCCACAGTTTTATTGTCATACTATGCACAGTCAGATGAAATGTGTGTTTGTTTACAAACACTACAATCTTACTAGTTCCTTGATGGACATACTTCAATTCACAGAACCTACAATAATGGCTGGTAATTATCTGCTTTTGAATAAAGTAGATATGCTTGTTAAGAGACTGTAAGTCTTAAATTGTATAAGTGTGGCTAGGCTTTATATCTATATAGTTACGAAGAACCAAATGTCTTAAGTAACTAGTATTAGCTACATATATATGCAATCATATGCAGAAATATTAAGTCCCTACTAATATATCTCTGTATGTGTATATATATGTACAGTGGCATATATAGAGAGTCTAACTGGCATACATGTTAGCAAGGTACATCTTACTGGCATATATGACAGACTCTCTATATATGCCAATAAGAGGTACCCTTAGGGTGACTACATTTAACCCCCTATTACAGTATGTGGCAACGTGATAGACTTATTAAAAAAAAAAAAAAAAAAATTTTTTTCAAGAATTCATGTTCTGTCATTAGGCCAACAGCTAGCAGATCTCCAAAATTCTAGGATAATCTGCAATATCATTTATTCAAATTCACTTATTTAATTGTAAGTTAAGGTTCAGAATGGACTTTTTAAAAGTTCAATTAACATGTGAAAAAAATTCCATCAAACCCTAAATCGGAGGTCTTTAATTAACCCGGGATCTGTGAAAGCCTTAAAAGCAAAGTGTTTTTGTATGTGTATTATTCTAAGAAGAATCCACAACTTTGCTCAAAAAAGATTAAGAACTACCACTCTATCCTGTTCTAGCACAAGAATATTTTATTCACATTAACAAATTAGCAATTAAGAAATCATTTAGGCTGGGTGCGGTGGCTCATGTGTGTGATCTCAGCACTTTAGGAGGCTGAGATGGGCAAATCACTTGAGGCCAAGAGTTTGAGACCAGTTTGGCCAACATGGCAAAACCCCATCTCTGCTAAAAATACAAAGTTAGCTGGGCATGGTGGTGCATGCCTGTAGTCCCAGCTACTTGGTTGGCTGAGGCACAAGAATCGCTTCAACCTGGGAGGCGGAGGTTGCAGAGTCAAGATTGTGCCACTGCTCCAGCCTGGGCTGGAGATACTGTCTCACAAAAAGAAGAAAAAAAAATTAGTATTTACATGCCACTGTGGGTACAGAATGGTTCAAAAGAAACAGATTTTTTTTACCAGCCTATATATATTCTGCCTACTGTAGAGCAGGGAGAGGACTACAGGAGGGACTGAATGATAGGAAATTGAGAAAACTCATGCTGTTTCCTGACAAGTGATGGTGCCAAGATCAGTGGCTTTGGCTTCAGTGAAATATGGGCTCAAACCACGTCTTCTCTATTGGCTTACTGTGCAACCTTGTAAACAAGCAGTCTGGGTGTCAGTTAAACTAGGGATCATATAATCTCCGCCTTTATAAAG